CTCCACTTTAAATTGAGAACATCATCTGCAAACCCAAGGAAGAGCATACAGCATATGGAGAGAAGAGATGTGAGGTACTCTGCAAATGCTGCATGAGGAAAAGAAGTGCCTGGGTGCATGAAGTGTTGGCCAAAGGGAACACCCAGGAAGAAAAACATGATGATCAGGAACACTGACCCACTCACCATCCCCATAGACTCTGGCCTGTAGGATAAAACAAAACATTGGTACAGTATTCATATACAAGATAAAAATACTGGAAATATGCCATAAAATTTCCACCAATATAATGTACAGTACAGTATATGGTATATACCCAGAATACATTTTCTTGATCCAGATTTACTATACAGAATTGTCTCAAAATACGTTCGGGTTCCGTTCCTGAAAACGCGATTGTTTAAGTGAACAATCTTACAGGCTATACGAGGAGAAAACAAGAAATAATATCCTAAATGAGGAATAATATCTGTGGAAATTGCATGTAATTGTGTAGCAAAGTTGCCCAATTGGCCAACTTGCCACTCAGTAGATATTTGTAATTTTCTTCATTTTCTTTTATTCTGTTACATGCACACACAGTAGTTCATACAGAATGTGCCCTCCCCAAAAAATCATAAGGTCAAAAACATAAAAGTATTGAACATTTCTTACATTCTCGGCATTTAGCCTACAGAGTGGGGGAAGGGGAGGAGAAAGTAGCATGGAGGATCTTTCAGCTGTTCTCTTTATGTTTTTGACCTCATGATAATTATTTTATAATATTTGGGGGCACATACTGTGTGTGGCTAGCATTTAAACTGAAATAGGCCTAACTTTATAAATGCAACCAATTGTGTTGTTGGGGGAGTTCTTGATTAACATTTGTTTAACAGTGCATGAGTTTTTAAATGCCACATTGACGTTCCAGGTTTTTAGCTGTGCAGGAATGTGTGAGAAATTTTTGTGAAATGGTAATATTAAGATATTCTTATGGTCATGGGTGGGCTTGCATTTATAAAGTTCCTTGCAAGGAATGTAATATGTTTTACTTAGGCCAGACAGGTAAAGATCTTGCAACTTGAATTAAACAACACAAATACAGTGTTAGGACAGGCCAGGAATCCAATGCTCTGTTTGTTCATTTGAGGGATAACAAGCATTGCATTGACTGGGATAATGCCTCCTCAATATTACCATGTAATTCAATTGATAGTAGGAACATCATAGAATCTAGTCTTATTAAACATACCGAAGCATCCAACATGAATTTGAGTAACGGCATGTACAAGCTGGACAATTTTGTAATTAAGAAGATTTGTGATCAGGTGAGAAGGCCAGGTCACTTGACCATCTGACCTGACCACCAACCGTTGTGTGCTATTTAAAGATTAGTAGGGTCATTACCTAATACCTGACCATTGTGGACCTGGTCTCACCCTCCTCTGCATATATACACCTTGATTTGTATTACTCTCTCTAGTCTGTACTCACCCCTGAAGATGTGAATTACACGAAAGCGCTTGGGAACTTCGTGTTTTCTTCTTTCCTTGTGGTTATCAGCATATACCTAGATCACGCACTTCACAGTGATTTATATATATATATATTATATATATATACATACATACATACATACATACATACATACATACATACATACATACATACATATATACATACATACATACATACATACATACATACATACATACATACATACATGTATATACATACACACATACATACATACATACACATACATACACACACACATACATACATACATACACACACATGCATACATACACACACACATTATGAGGCATACATACATACATACATACATATATATATATATATATATATATATATATATATATATATATATATATATATATATATATATATATATATATATATATATATATATATATATATATATATATATATATATACACACAGTATTACCCCGCCTAACGCGGTTTCACTTAGCGCGTTTTCGCATATACGCGGTGCCTTGCCAGAGCTGAACTTTCACTTAACACGGATTTTTTCCACATATACGCGGTGAGTGTCCGGCTCGAGATGCTATTTTTAGATTTTGCCAACGCGCCACGCGCCACCAGCCCGCCTGCCTGCCTGTGCTCCTTGCCTTTCCCTCCTCCTCCCTCCGCTTGGGCAAGCCGCGCGGTAAGGTTGCGCAGTGTGTCTTTGTTGCGTTATCACTGACGTCATATGACGTATCGGACTGTGATTGGCCATGCATCCCTACCCCCCTCTGCTGCTAGCTGTAATTGGCTTAAAGTATTATGACGTGACCACCCCGGGGAGGGAGGGAGGGAGGGAGGGAGGAGAGACGACGCTTGACCTAGCCGCGGCAGTTTCATCCCTCAAGGCCACCCCGTGTTAACGCACATCCATTGTTCCGTAAAATGGCTTCCGCCGGACCACCATCGCCCCCAGAGAGAGACCTTTCCTTACCTGGACCCAGCGGCACTAAGCCAAAGAAGACACGACGTTCATTAAGCTACGAGGTGAAGTACCAAATTGTTCAAGATTTGGAGAAAGGAAGACGGCAAGTTGATCTCGCGCGCCAGCATGGCGTCAACGAATCTACGATTCGTACGATCAAGAAGGATGCAGCCAAGATCAAAGAGCACATGAAAATCACAAAGTCTGCAGGTGCTTCATCTATCAGGTATTGCCAGAACAGGGTGCTGGCAAAAGTGGAAAATTTGCTGGTGAGTTATTTGGTGCGTCAGGCGCGACGCAACATGGCGGTGGACACGCGCTCAGTGCAGGAGTACGCACGTGAGCTATACGCAGCAGTGACACGTAAACTGGGAATTGCAGAGCCCAAACCCTTCAATGCTTCCTCTGGTTGGCTGCATAGGTTTAAGAAGAGGAACAAGATCACCAACATCAACATTGGTGGTGAGGAAGCGAGTGCTGACCGTGTGGCGGCTAGAGATTTTCCTCCGTTTTTACGTGAGATTATGGAGGAAGGACAGTACAGTGACGACCAGGTGTTTAACATGGACGAATCTGGTCTTTTCTGGAAAAAGTTACTTCCAAGACCTTCGTTGTCCAGTCTGCCAGCAAGGTAAGGGGTCGGAAGTTGCAGAAGGAACGCATCACCGTCCTGTTTACCACCAATGCCTCCGGTACCTGTAAACCAAAGTTATCGGTGATTCACACAGCCCGCAAGCCGCACGCCTACAAGAATATGGACATGAACAAGCTTAATGTCCACTGGCTAACCGCACGTAAGGCGTGGATGTCCTCTTCTCTGTCCCTCTTCTGGTTTGACAACTGTTTTGTTCCTGACGTGCAGAAATTCTGCAAGCAACAGAATGTTCCATTCAATATTTTGTTGCTCCTTGACAACGCACCTGGACACTCGCCCCTACTTATGGATCGTCACCCCAACGTAAAAGTGGTCATCCTTCCTCCCAACACTACGTCATTAATCCAGCCCATGGACCAGGAGTTGATCTGCAATGTGAAAGCTGCGTACTCTGCAAAGAAGTTCAAGCTCCTGAACGACTCTACCAACACCAAGGATGAGTTGCGTAAGCTGGGTGACACCGACAGCGAGAGCAAAAGCGACGAGGACAAGGAACAAGAGGCGGTGACTCAAGAACTTCTCGTCAAACAATTTTGGAAGAAGTTTAACGTTAAACAAGCTGTAGACTTCTTGGTGGAGGCATGGGATCTGCTGACTATTGCTACGATTCGTCACGCATGGAGACATGTGTTGCATGGCATACCAGGTGAGAGGAGGAGTGAACCTGTGACTGGTCAGGTTCAGACTGTTGCAGTAGCAGTGGACCTTGCCAGAGAAGCTGCGCTCAATATTACAGCTGAAGGCTTCTCCGAGACCACCAATGAAGACATCCTGGAGGTGATCAAAGATCCTGAAGTGACTGCCGACGAGATGTTGGAAGAAGAACACGCCAGTGAAGAGGAGGAAGAAGGTGCGTCATTCTCCGAAGAACCTAGTTTAAGTCATAGTGATATTAAGTGTGTCATAGAGTTTACAGAAAAAATTAAGTCCGTCCTTTCCCGCGACAATGACGATGAACGCTATGAAGTCTTCCATACCCGACTGGTGCAGGCTATGGAGCCGTACATCGAGGTGTATCACGACAACATCAACACCAGCCGTCAGCAAAGCATAACCGAGTTCTTCGCCCGCAACCCACCACAGCCAGCCCAAGCCAGTGATAGTGAAAGTGAAGTTGACTTTGAGGGATTTGTCAGGGAAGCCCTGACAACTGTAAGTGACAGTGATGTTGATTCACCTAGTAATGGTGATTCACCTGAGGGCCAGTAATCTGCCCTCTGCCTCGGAACCAGCCTCCATCCCCGTATGCCGACCCATCTCTTCTACTACCGTAAGTGTTCCACAAAATTTTTCGTTTTTTAACCTATTCTTTATTTTTCCTATGTTAACCTTTATCTTTCCTAACCTAACCTCTTCTATATTACTTGTTTTTTCATACCATCATAAAGTTAAGATAGAATTTTTACTACAACATAGTTATGTGTCGTCAAAAAGTGGAGTTTGGGGGTCGGGATGGGTTCTATTGGAATTAATCCCATATATATATATATATATGTATGTATGTATGTATGTATGTATGTATGTATGTATGTATGTATGTATGTATGTATGTATGTATGTATGTATGTATGTATGTATGTATGTATGTATGTATGTATGTATGTATGTATGTATGCATGTATGTATGTATGTATGCATGTATGTATGTATGTATGTATGTATGTATGTATGTATGCATGTATGTATGTATGTATGCATGCATGTATGTATGTATGTATGTATGTATGTATGTATGTATGCATGTATGTATGTATGTATGTATGTATGTATGTATGTATGTATGTGTATGTATGTATGTATGTATGTATGTATGTATGTATGTATGTATGTATGTATGTATATATATATATATATATATATATATATATAGTATATATATATATATATATATATATATAGCAGTATATATATATATATATATATATATATATATACAGTGCATCTCCGCTAATCTAACTCAATCCGTTCCAGAAGGTCGGTCGTTAACCGAAAAGTTCGTTAACCGAAACCATTGTTTCAATGGGTTTTTGGGTAATTGGTTCCAGCTCACCGAAAATTTCCTAAATTCAACAAAAATGGTAGAAAAGTTCACTTACTTTGAGGTGTGTATGTAGAAGGCTCCTGGATGATGATGATGATGATGATGATGGGATTTAGAATGGGGGTGGAGGAGAAGGAAAAAGAGAAGGCATTGGGGTGGAAGAGAAGTCACCCCATGGCGCCATTTCACCCATAAAATTTTAGCTCTCTTGGTGTAATTCAAGATTATTTTCTTTAAATCAACACTGCACTGCATTATATATTGTCAATATGTAAAATATATTTCAAAATGACCAATAATTTGCTTGGAAACACAGAAAAAATCGTTTAGTTGAAGAGAGTCTCAAGCAAGATGTTACCTCCAGTGAAAACAGAGAGAGACTAACTCCTGTTTGCTGTGTTAAGAGGCTGGATGCTGCGCATTAAACTAGTCACTTTACCTTCAGTTATGTTCAATAATTGTTAAAATGACTAAAAAATTGAATACTAAACTTTTAAAATTATTGAATAGTATAAACTTCTTGATATTTACTAAAATAGTAAGGAATTTAAGCCCTAGAACCGATTAATGTATTGGCGGACTGATACTAAAGCTGGTTGCCCGGTCAGTGCAAGCGAAAACATGTTGAGATTGGTTCGTAAGAACTTCGTTAAACGAATTTTTTTTTGTTAACCGAATTGAAGATCCTTATATATATATATATATATATATATATATATATATATATATATAATGTCCTTCCCACACTCCATGTTTAATGCAAAATTTTGATGATCACAATCCAGCACCTCACCTCACTGCAGTCTCTGGTTCCTCCCACCTCACTTAATCACGCCCTCCTAATAGCACGTAAATAATAATGTACATTTCAGAGAAAATGTTATTTGTGTATGTCTAATGCAAAATATATGATGTTTGAGTTGTATGATCACAATATAAGAATTTTAAGCTGTAGAAATAGTTGGGTAATGGGACTACCGCAGGGAAAATTTAAAATGTATATATGTATATATATATATATATATATATATATATATATATATATATATATATATATATATATATATATATACATATATATATATATATATATATATATATATATATATATATATATATATATATATATATATATATATATATATATATGTATATATATATGTATATATATATATACATATACATATATACTAACAGTATTACCTCCTAACGCGGCTTTCACTTTAACGCTTTTATCATATACGCGTGCTCATGAGCTGAACTTTCACTTAACACGGATTTTTTCATCATATACGCAGGTGAGTGTCCTGCCCGAGACGCTATTTTGATTTGCCCCACCCGCTACCCTGCCTGACTGCCTGTTTTAGCTCAGAAAATTCATACAATTACCCGGCAGAATAATTTACATTGCTGGAATTTATAATTTGGTGATCATTTTGAATATAAATATATTTTGCATTAGACATGCAAATTTTAGATAAAATGTTTACTCTTGAGTAAATATGTATCTTTGTGCAAAATATATGACATTTATATTCAAATATTCCTGGTCTTACAAGGAATCCAGCAATGTCAATTATATTATCCAACTTTAGTTTGAGGTATTATTTATTACAAAAAGTTAAGTATTCTGGTTTTCTCCCACACATCTCCTTGGGACGGTTGGTGGGGTGGGGGAGGGAGGGAGGACCGACCGACCATCTGTTACCCCTGTGAAGAATATTTTTTTTTTTAACTGAAGATATTTGTTTTAGCTCATATAATTCAACAAATTACTCGTTAGAATATATTTACATTGCTGGAATTCTTATAATTTGATGATCATTTTGGAATATAAACATCATATATTTTGTATAGACATACAAATTTTAGTTAAAATTTTAATCTGAGTAAGTATGTTATCTTTGTGCAAAAATTATATGACATTTATATTCAAAATATTCCTGGTCTTACAAGAATCCAGCAATGTCAATTATATTATCCTAACTTTAATCTGAGGTATTATTTAATACAAAATGTTAAAATTTATTATTTTCACTCAAGTCTTCTTGGGGGGGTGGGGGAGGGTTGGGACTGACTGCGCGTTGGAAGAGGGGGGAGGGAAGGTGGGGTACTTTGATTGACAGATAGTGTCGTGAAGATTATTTTTTTTTATTAACTGAAGATATTTGTTTAGCTTCTAAAATTCATACAAATTACCCGGCCAGAATAGAATTTACATTGCTGGAATTCTTATATTTGGTGATTATTTTGAATATAAACATCTATATTTTGCATTAGACATACAAATTTTAGATAAAAAATTTTCTGAGTAACTATGTTATCTTTTTGTGCAAAATATATGACATTTATATTCAAAATATTCCTGGTCTACAAGGAATCCAGCAATGTCAATTGTATTATCCTAACTTTAGTTTGAGGTATTATTTATTAAAATTTGTGGTTTTCCCAAAATTTCTCAGAGAGGGAAGAGCCGCAGTAGTGTGAGAGGGGAGGAGTTGAGTCCATTATTTGAATGGACATTAACTTACACTGTATTTCTCTTTTTAAGTATTAATTGTGTGCATGTACAGTACCATCATAAAATTAAGATGTTATTTTTACTACAACATAGTTATGTGTCTTCAAAAGTGGAGTTTCGGTCGGGCTTCTATTTGAATTAATCCCATATGTTCTGTTGTTCACTTCACGGATTTCACTTAACACGGGACCCTCTGGGTTCTATTGACCGTGATTGCACAACTGGTGTGTGTGTGTGTTGTTATATATATATATATATATATATATATATATATATATATATATATATATATATATATATATATATATATATATATATATATATATATATATATATATATATATATATATATATATATATATATATATATATATATGTTTTTTTTTTTTTTTTTTTTTACTGTATATAAATATATATGTATATAATATATATATATATATATATATATATATATATACATATATATATATATATATTTTTATATATATATATATATATATATATATATATATTATTTATATATATATATTAACGATCTTAAAGAATTCTTTAGATCACAGACTGTATGTGATCTACTAAAGAATTCTTTTAGATCTCGTGACTTTACAAGTAAGAAAGCGTCATTTGCTTACCCTAGCATTTTCTCACGACACGCCACTGATATATATATATATACAGGTTGACTATAAAAAATCCGGCAACCTCGGGACCCGAGGAGCGCCGGATTTTCGAAAATGCCGGAAAACTGTTGGTTATATTTGCTGTATAAGTTTAACAGAAAATGACTACCTGTACAGTCCTTTAAACAAAGAAAATTAAACACTAAATGAAAAGCAAAAGAAATTTTATTATATATGCTGTATACAGTATATTTAACAGAAAATTACTATCTGTACAGTCCTTTAAAAAAATAGAAAATTAAACACTAAATGAAACTCAAATGAAATTTTAATGTTTATCAGGCTACACAGCAGATGGGCTGTCAGGATTATCATCTTTATCACTGACAGTGACAACATCCTCAGCAACAGGAACAGCTTCAACTTATCTTGAAGTTGATGGCAGTGGATTACCAAGTGTGGACACCGCTGTTGCTTCTTCCTGCTTCCTAGCTATTTTCTTGAATATATCGGGCAATGTCTGTTGCTTCATATACTTGGGTCTTTCTCTAATAAGTTTATCTTGGAGCAAGAAAACATTCATGATTTCTTGTTCACTCACAAAACTTCGTTGCTCTAGTCCAGCCAGCAGTTCAGTTGTCAAAGTAATTAACCTGTCAATAGAGATTCTGTCTCTCACATCTTCCTCATTTTCTTCACTACTTTCATCTTCATCACTACCTGTACAGGCATTTCTCTCCGGACTTTTAACCATATCTACAATTTCAGAATCAGTGTAATGATGAACTGTTGGCACATTATCATCAACATCCAACCATTCTGTTAAAACATCTTCATTTATCCTTGATGAAAGCTCCTTGGCATCAGGATTAGTTACATTTTTAACATAAGCAAGAAGTTCATGTATAAGTTGCTTTTCTTTGGAAACCCTAAACCCTGCAAAATCATTTTCTGTGTCTTCGTTAGAATGAGAAGTAAACATGAAACTTGGCCACAATTTATGCCATCCATTTTTCAGTGTTGATGTTTTAATAGATGTCCAAGCATTGGCAACACAGTACACTGCATCCTTAATGTTGAACTCTTTTATGAATTTCTGTACTGGGGTGCCTGAATTAACTGAACTCACTAGGCGCCTCATTAACAGGGATCGATATTTACACTTCATAGAACGTATGATACCATTGTCCTGTGGTTGAATTAGTGATGTGCAGTTGGGTGGGAGGTAGGCAACAAAAACATTATCTTTCACTAGAAGATCGGCTTTTGGATGTGCCGAACAATTGTCTGAAATAAGAAGTATCTTGCATTTAGGGTCTAGTCCAACTGAGTTACAGTGAGCCCTGGCCTCAGGAACAAAACATTTATGAAACCAATCCAATGTAATATCAGTGGTAGCCCAACCCTTCTTGTTGGCATGGTAATGGACAGGAAACCGTGTCATACCCTTAAAGGCCCTCGGATGTAAACTTTTTCCGATAACAAGCAACTTACATCTATGGGTACCCGCAGCATTAGAGCAGCACATAACCGTGACGCGATCCTTCGAAGCTTTAAACCCCAATGGCGATTCTGCATCCTCAGTTGTCAGAGTTCTTTTTGGCGTACATCTCCAAAATAAGGCAGTCTCGTCAGCATTGTACACATGTTCAGGACTTAAATGTTCATCACTAACTAACTTTGCAAATTCATCCACATAGGCACTAGCTGCACTCTTGTCTGCTGAATGTTTTTCACCACATACTGCACGAATGTAAGCCATGTCGCGACTTGAAACGTTGCAGCCAACCTTCTGTATAGTCACACTTGTGTTGCAATCCCAGCTCCTCATGAAACACTTTGGCTTGTTCCTTTAATCAATCACCAGAAATTTCCACACCTTCACTTACACGAAGTTTAAACCAGGTTATGAGAACTTGGTCTAGTTCTGCACTTTTTCCCTCCAACATTGACTTCCTTACAAACATTTTCCTTTTTGATCCAGTCAGAAAAGAACTTTAACAGTTCTTCTTTCTGTTTTTTAATATCATACACTGTTGAAGAGCCGATGTTGTATGTTTCACAAATGGTTCGCACAGACACGCCGCTATCAAGTCTTTTAAGCACTTCCACTTTCTCTGCGATCGACAACGCACGATGTTTACGTTTTACGCCAGAGTGTGGCTTGGCTCTGCAAGGGATGACCCAGGTGGAGCTGAGGCACTCTCTTTTTCCCTACTTAATGATTTGGAACAAATAATCAAACACCCTACACGCATTCCTGATCGACGCGCTCAACTTGCTAACATTCTTGATCTTTGTTTCACCTCTAACCCCTCACACTATTCATACTCAATTTCTGCCCCCTTAGGGTCTTCTGATCACAACCTTATTTCTATTAAATCAAACTGGGCACGATACATCCTTCCACTTCAATAAACTATGGAACCGTCTTGTCATCTTTAAGATCACTCCCACTCTCTTGCTTGCAGGGTGAGAGATAGGGCATATCGAGCTATGAAACTCTCTCCATCTCCTTTTACCCACACCTCTTTCATTACTTCTAGGAATCGTTGTAAGGCTATTCTTCGTAGGGCCAAGCAGAATTTTATAAAAAGAAAGACCGCTGTCCTGACCAATTCTTCCTCAAGTAAATCCTTTTGTTCCTTAACTAAAAACATCTGTAACAACTTCTGCACTCCTTCTTTTCCTCCTCTCTTCCGACACGATAACTATATAGCCAACTCTCCCCCTGACAAAGCCAACCTCTTTGACACCTTATTCTCCTCTAATTCCACCTCTGCACCTCCTACTGAACCTATGCACTTTGCTATAATCTCCACTCGCATGGTTGCCAGTGTGTTATCTAGGTTGGCTGTGAGTAAGGTACAGTGGGGTATGCTATAACAAACGGATCCTACTACGAATATTCCTATAATGAACGGTTTTACCTATAAAATTGAGATTGCTATAACGAACGAAACTCCTACAACGAACATTATTTAGAAAAAAAAAATTTTTTTTTTCTTTTTTTTTTACTAATTTATTGTTTTTTTATTACAAGTATTAATGATGTTCTTTATTTCAGGGGTTTAGATGCTTATTTATGCACTTTTTTACAATTTTTACAATTTCATATTATATTTTTCAGTGTTAAGTGGTTGTATTTGGGGGCCTGGAACGAATTAATCCTATAACGAACGAATGCTATAACGAACGAGGTTCTAGAACCAATTAGATTCGTTATAGCATACCCCACTGTACATGGACCGGACGGAATACCCCGTCGTGTTCTGAGGGAGTGTGCTGAAGCTCTGGTCCGTGGTTGCTCGCCTCTTTCGCCTCTGCCTCAAAACCCAAACTTTTCCTTCTTCTTGGAAGCATGCCTTGGTTCAGCCCATCCCAAAGAAGGGTGACCATTCAAATCCCTCTAACTATTGCCCCATTGCCCTTACTTCATCCCTCTCCAAGATTTTCGAAACTCTCTTGAAACTCTCATTTTCTCCGTCACCTTGAACGCCTTTCTCTTTTGGCGGATCATCAGTATGGCTTTCGCCAGGCGAGATCTGCTGGTGATCTGCTCTCCTATTACACCCATCTTTGGTCATCCTCCCTTAGGGATTATGGGGAAACTTTCGTCGCGGCCCTCGACATCTCAAAAGCATTTGACACGGTATGGCACAAGTCTTTGCTATCTAAACTTCCCTCTTTTGGTTTCTCTCCCCCACTTTGTTTTCACATCTCTAGCTTCCTTCAGAACCGATCCATGGCAGTTGTTGTCGAGGGATCGATTTCTCGCTCTTTCTCTACCAGTAGTGGTGTCCCACAGGGTTCTGTTCTTTCACCTACTCTCTTCCTTCTTTTTATCAATGATTTACTTCACACTACAACTAATTCTATCTATTCTTACGCTGATGATTCTACTCTATACTCTTCCTCACATTTTCCCCTTCCTCCCAACTCTCAAACTAGATCTGTTTCTAGAACTGATATCATTACTTCTATCAATGCAGATTTGTGCAGCATCTCTGAATGGTGAGGTACAAACTTAGTTAAGTGCAATAGTAATAAAACTCAATATTTACCAATTATACTTTGTAAATTAGACGATCTCCCACCAATTACATTTCAGGATGCTTTCATCCTGCCAAATTCTGAAATAAATATGTTAGGCCTCACCATTTCCTCCAATATGTCCTGGAAATCACACATCAATAATACAGCTAAAGCTGCCTCCCAATAGTTGGGAATGCTGTACAGATGCCATAGCTACTTCACTCCTGAGCAGTTGCTCCAAGTATATAAGGGATTCATTCGTCCTAACTTGGAGTACTGCTCTCATATATGGGGTGGCTCTTCTTCTGTCCAACTATTAGATAGGGTGGAATCAAAGGCATTTCGTCTTATTAACTCTCCTTTAGTCAACAATCTCTCTTCCCTTTCTCTTTGCCGCAATGTTGCTTCACTCTCTCTCTTTTATAGGTACTGTACTTTAACGGGCAATGTTCGGTGGATTCGTCATCCTGTGTACCGCCAGCAAGGCCGTGGGCTCGTAACACACGACTTGCCCGCGGTGCCCACCGTTTCTCTGTGGATGTCGGTCACACGAGAATAACCCGCTATAGTACCTCCTTCTTTCCTCACACAGCCAAACTGTGGAATGCTCTGCCTTCTTCTGTGTTTCCACACTTATACAATCTGTCTCACTTTAAAAAGCTGGTTTTCCGGCATCTTCGTGGTGTAGATTAACACAATACAGGCCTCCCCCGCGTTACGGAAGCCCGGGTTATGGAATTTCGCTCTTACGGAATTTGTAAATTATAACCAATAATTTCGCGTTACGGCCCGTAAATCTGTCCTTGCGAAAATTGGGGTAAATTTTAATAATTTAAAAAAAAAAATCACTATATAAAATTATAATTTTTGTTCAAGCTCTGAATGCAACGTCAGGAAATGCTACCTAGGTATGTTAATTCCTAGCCAATTCGCCAGGCCAACATACAGGCAATTAAAACATCTAATAATTACTTAATAAGTAATATTAGGAGGACACGTCGCTACCTGGCATGTACTGTAATTGCAATTCTCAAAACCCCCTCCTTCAACCCCCACTATATGCATCACGACACTCATCTCTTGCCTGGCGATTCAGCTATAATACACACAAAGGGAAGCTCCGCAAATTTGTGTTCTAATTGCTGAAATACTCACCTCCGCAAGGATATTATATACGGTATTTGTACTTAATAGCACAGTGATGAAGTATAGTGACTTTTATTTTGTTATGTCTCTCATTTATTGTATTTGGGACATTTTCTTATACGACTTTTGGTCAGCATGGTGACCAAAACACATTTTCTTTGTGAGTCGTTTAGATCGTTGTGACTATCCCTAGCCTTTAAGTCACTCAGTAAACGTCGCAGGGCCCTCCCGGGCTCACTAAAAGAGAATATGTGAATATATCTATTTATATATACATATATATGTATATTGTTTACGATCTCTTTGTCCCAATTATTCACGTGCTAATATGAATACCATGACTATCTCTCTCCCTGCTCTTATGTTCGCTCACAAAAACCTTTGGGCTTCCACCCTTGGGTTTCTATTTGTTCTCAGCAAAAAGGCCAGAGTTGAGTTTGTCTCTTCAAAACTTTATTTTTTGATGTCCTCAGTAGCGGGTTCAGCCTTTCCAGGCGAACTTTAGCGAGGCTGCTAGACTTAGCGTTCCTTCCGGAATGTTGACCTTCCGGTCTTCCTAACAATCTAGAGTTATGTTGAAATGGACTTTACACCTTCTATGGGTTATATGAGACCAATTCAGGGTGGAATCCTCAACCCAATAAATATTGCTAGAGTAACAGTGAACGTTGCTGCCAATAGAGCGCTATGTTAGCGTCTCAGCACTGTCAACCCTGCCGAGTGATAGTGCGCACGTAGGAATTTTCCCTTAAAGTGTTTACTTGGGAGATAATGTCTGTGCCCCTGATTGGCAACAAATAAAGATCTTGATGATCCCTCTCAATAAATGTTCTGAATGAAATTATTTTATAAAAACAAATATAAATAAATAAGTTTCATTGAGCTAAGGGATACTTGATATAAGAGTCGAGAGACAGATACGAAATACAGTGAATTCTGCTATAACGCGTGTTTTGATAACGCGAATTTGCTCTAACGCGATTTATGAATAGAGGAACGATATTTGTATAACGCGAACGCTTGTTTGCTGTAACGCGATTTTTGCTTACTATTTCTCCAATTTTGTGGTATTAACTGTGAATATGGTAAAGAAGAATATCTCCAAGAAGCGTTCTGGTGATCGAATTCCCGGTGATGATCGTAAAAGAACCTCAAAATCACCCTTCTCCCCCATCAAGTTATATTCATATTTTTTCAAGGTAAAGTGTCACATTTACTGTATGATTTCATTATTAGATATGAATGTAACATTTATTTAGACTGTGCTATCCTTTGTGTTAGGCTAACTACTAATTTTTTTTTTATTTCGAGTAGTAATCTGCACCTAACCCTATTTTCTCCATAAGCCCTGTTATTTCTATTACGCGATTTTCTATAACACGAAATTTTACAAGAACACAACTATCGCGTTATAGCAGAACTGACTGTAGTGAGTTATTGTTTATATTTGTCATATGAGTGACTTGTATAACAATAAAAGATCTTAATGCATTAACTTACGAATAATATAACATTTATGAGTCATTTTGATTAAGTTTGGGAGAAAATGCTTTCTCCCTTATTAATTATTATTATTATTTT